TGTGTGTGTGTGTGTGTGTGTTCTCTCCAGCAGCACCCGCGGTCAGCTGAGCTGCAGAGCAGAGTTTAGCGACACTCCAAAAACCTTTGACTATAATAGTATTTAAGCGAAATATAAAAAAATTAAGTATAGGGTTAATATTATAGGGTTAGTATTAAGTATATAGGGTTACGTTGTCGCCTAAAAACTTTCTAAACCTTAATTTTGTGTCAAGGAAAAAGAGAAAATTGAAAATCTTGCCAAAGCCTTATTTCCGAAAAAGAAAAAAAAAAAGCCTTATTTCCTGCTTTTGATTCATACAGCTTTCACCCGCAATGCATCATGGGATTGGGTAGGTGAAAAAGGTTGTTTTAAGAAGTTTTAAATGTACAGACACCCCTTTTTCAGATAAATTGGGGGGTGGGGGGCACTGATTGGTGGGCCTGATGGATACAGCTTCATCAGAGCTAAACAACAAAAGAAATCTGAAGCTTCTATGTTGAACACTTTCTGAGTTATAAGCATTTTTGCATGTCCAGACACCTCCTTTTTTGAATGGAGCCCCCTCTTCAAATATGGGGTCTATCGTCAAACCGTTGGCTGGCGCAGTGTAGGTCAGACTCATCTACAGTCCTGTCAAATTTCATATTGATCGGTGCAGCCGTTTTTGTGCTACGGTTGAACAAAAATCACTGAAAAAAATAATAAACCGTACAAAAACAATATGACTCCCGCTTACGCTTCACGTGCGGGAATCATAATAAAAGGAAAATTTTTGAAAGAAGTTGTTAGATACGGCAAATATTGAGAATGTCCTCTGCAAAGAAACACCTGTTTCTTTTACTGAACCAGTTTGCCAAACTGTCATTTTCTGTACACTTTCTGTGCACTCTTTGACAGAAAACCAAAAAAGAAAATAAATAAAAATTCCCAGATTCTCAGGCAGGTGAAGATCTCAAACGCAGATTATGTATTTAAAGAACATTATGGAACCTCAGAGTGGCCATAAAGAGACACAAAAAACAACAGAATTACATTTGTATGTATGCAAGTGCAGGATGAGCTTTTCTTCCTGCTTGGAGATCCATAACTCTCAGTTGAAACAAAGTTAAAACATAAACAAACACAACTTTCTAATCAATTTTTATCAAGTTAAGCTGTCCTCATAGATAGAGATGGGGGTGGAGTGTATTTTCCAGGCACTTAGTTCAATTCTATACCACAATCAAGTAACTGTGTTAGTACCTTAAATTGTAATGAAAAGGCTGTATTCTCAAACATAAATGTGACTGCATATAGGCGGTGYCATGTACCAGGAAGTGTTTAAGCAGCTCCACATGGCTACCACATGAGATTCAGGGATTTCCCAAACATGCATGAATGTTTTTGATGGGAGAATGACATGATAACATGAAATAAAGCCCCAGTAAACTCCTGCTTGTTCTTACTGCACCTGGAATATTGTCCAGTTTGTTGCGGAGCTCCTCGTTCTCCTGCTGCAGGGACAACACCTCCTGCTCCAGCTCCAGGCACCGCGGACAGCAGCTCTCTTCCTCCTCTTCCTCTTCGGGCAGCGTGGAAGAAGGGTGCCCGTACGAATCGGACGGCGCCGGGGAGCCCCACCTTCCTAGGTTGTGCCTGGATGGAGACCTGCCCGAAGCGGGCTCTGCTGGCAGACACCGCTCTCCTTCGAGGCCCCCGGTTTGGTGCTGTTGCCGGGTCCCTAAAAGCAGGTAGTTCTGCAGGGAGTCCGTGAAGATGCGGAGAACTGCGGAGGTCTGCTGCTGGTTTAAATGGCTACGTTGGGCCTCGTCTTCGGTTTCAGTGGTGAAGGAGCTCTCCTCAGACTTCAGTTTCCCCTGTGAGGAGCAGTGGAGCCCCTGAATGTCGTCTCGCCTGTCTTCCAGCTTGATGCTGGAGGGGAGGGAGGAGGACAGGGTCTCCAGGAGACGGCCGTTGTTAAGAAGGTTGAGGACTCTGCTGCACTGCTGGGCGAAGGCGTCCAGGATGAGACGGTTCTCTGAAGGTGGAGGGAGGGTAAATCAGAAATACAGTGGGTAAAATAAGTATTGRACAYGTCAMCATTTTTCTCAGTAAATATATTACTAGAGGTGCTAATGACATGAAATTTTCAACAGATGTCGGTAACAACCCAAGTGATCCATACATACAAAGAAATCAAACCATAAATGTCCAGAAATGAAGTTATTTGTAATAATGTGGAATGACAC